TGAACAAATTTCCTGATGAATGTGTTGGTCCCGTGACCAGGTTGAAGGTTTTGTTTTTAGGGAAGTTAAGGGTTCAATTGTGTACCGTTTTTTATTTTCCTTTTTCCTTCTCAATATAAATGATACAAACTCTCACATGTCCTTCTCTTTTCTATTTTCCTCTTTTCCTCCCAATATAAATTATATTAACTCAAATCTTTACTTATTTAGGGTGTGTTTGGTATTAAGGAAAAAATATTTTCCAATTTCCCCATGTTTGGTTGACTTAAATGTTTTGGAAAATGTTTTTCAAATCAACTCATTTTTCTCACATTTAAGGAAAATGACTTCCCTTCAAAAATTAAGGAAAACATTTTCTAAAACTCTACTTTATCCTTCAATATTTTTTTCTTAGCCTATCACATACCCCAAACCCGGCCCTCCTCATCCAAAAAAATAATAAAATTAAAAATTAAATTTTTTCCTAATTTTAAAATTTTCAATTTTTATGTCACCCTTACCCTTTCCCTTACCCAGCCATCCCCATCCCCATCAAAAAAAAATTCTAAAAAAATATTTTTGAAAAATAATCAAAATTTTAAAGTTTCATTTTTTACGCCACGGGTTAGAAATTATTTTTTCTAAAGGGCAGCCAAAAATAAAAGATATTTTCTAAAAAATACTTTTCATTCACCAACTAAACATTAAAAAATATTTCTACTCAACAACTAAACATGAAAAAATAAATTTAAAATCTACTTGTTTTTCAAGAAAACATTTTCTAGAAACATTTTCCTTTCTACCAAACTCACCCTTAGAATATGATCTAGTAAAAAAGACATCTCTTTGGAAAATTTAAAGATGATTGAAGATTATGATTTCAATATTAATTATTGTTCCAGAAAAGATTAAGGACAGTTCATAATAGTAAGTTATTCAATATCTTGAATATATTATTAAAACTTACACTAAAAAAAAGTGTACTCAATATGGACTAATGAGCTTAGCAACATTTAGGATTATAAGGGCAAAAACTTGCTAAAATCATATATTATCCTCTCTATATTTCTTTACAATTTTTGCATAAAGAATATATTTTTAGTCTTTGGGATGCCAAATTTGAAGTGTAATTTTTTGAACTATCAATAATCAATGACGTAGACTTCTAATTAAATAAATTATTAAAAAAAAGAGATAATTTAATAATTTAGAAGTAAATAAGTAAAAAGAGAAATAAACTCACAATCAGTTCCACATAGAAATAAATGAAGAAGATAATTTAGAAGAAAAGTAAATAAGTAATGAATTGATATTTTTGATTAATTTTGTAGAAGTAAAAGTAAAATAAATATATATTTATCTTTTGAGTTTCTGAGAGTGATATTTTTGGGAGAAACAAGAAAAAATCATTCACGAATACTTTTATAAAACATCTTTTAATAGGATTGAAGCAATTTGCTTTCTTGGAGAAATCTAAAATTGATATTTTAACTTATCAAAAGCATTATTAAAAAACTTAAAGCAATTATAGTACATCATGATCGTAAATAAAGTATACAACAAAAAAACCTTTTTATATATGAATTCTTGTTATGGGTTCTAAAGGATCAAGGATGTATATCATATTTCTAGTAAAATTTCGATTGTTGATTTTGTTTCTACATATAATTGGTTGTTTGTTCTTTTCAGAAGAAAAAAAAATTTGATTTTCCTTTTTTTCTCAAGAAAAATGGATAACAAATTATTATAAATTAAGACTCATGCTTTTTCGCTTAGTAATATCGATCCACCTTATAATAAATTAAGAGACCTACTTATTTTTTAAAAGATATTTTTTTATGAAAAATATTTTTTTTCGAATACAGTACCCTATGAAAACTCAATTTGAGTTTACAATGTTGCATGTTGGCTCTATCAGATTAAGCACTTAAAAAGTATTTTATTGCAATGTGTAATTAAGTGCTTTCTTTCACCATTATTGCTTAAGTCACATCATTGTCACTAAATAGCATTACACCAAAGTCATTAGACATTAGTACTTTGTATTAGAACACTAGTCAAACTCGAAAGAAATTTAATACTTGCTATATTTTTTTTTCAAAATATTTATCCTATTAATTTTTTTGTGATTATTTATAATAATTTTTGCGTTATTTTTTTGATAATACAAATTTTATTTCAAAATATTTAAAGCTTTTGAATTCGAATTCACGATTAAAATTTAGAAATTTGAAATACCAAAATTTTATTTATATCACATAAGTTATCTCTCCATACAAATTTATGTTGGAGTGGGCAGGTGTGGGCCAACACAAAATCTAAAGTTCTAAACTGATATACAAACTTTTTGGATTTTTAGATTTAAGTATTGGACTGAATTTTATTTTCAAAATTTGTGAAATTCTTTAGCATTATAAATTTTTAGATATTCAAAAAAATTATGCATTGTATTCAGTCTTACTCATATCCTATTTGTTCAATGCTAATAAATTCATTTCATAAGTTAAATAGATTAATACCCTATTACTTTATGGAGAACTTACATAAATCTACTAGTTTAGGACTAATAACTTAGATATATTTAGTTTGTAATATTACATGCAAATCACTCCATACATACACATGTATCTAGTGTGTTATCTAGTGTGATTTTCATGTACCTGGAATCAGAGGCGGATCTAGGATTTAGAGGTCGTGGGTGCCACATCGCCCAAGTAAGATAAACGGGTCGGTTTCTTTAATTTTGGGTTACAATTCGAATTATTTATCTTTTTCGATTTTTATAAAAAAAATTTGATTAAACGTGCATGTTAGTAATATTTTCGTTTAGTTATTCTGAGATTAAAGATAACTAAACAATTCAACTTTTTTTTGATTTAGTGGCATTCTCTAAAACTTTGAGGAAAAAAAGATTTTCCATATTAAAAATTCAAATTTGTATAAACCATCTAATAATGTTAACTTAATATATTCATATTTCATTGTCTTTATGTGTTGTTGGATATATATAGTAGAGAAAAAATTAAAATTGGTTTCAACCCAATTATCATCTTACTTATCAAGAACATGAAGATCGGTCTAACATAATAATATTCATTATTTTTTAAAACTTATGTTTTTTTTCAAAAACAATTTAAATATATTCGTAGTAATATTTATGTGACTTTCATAATACAATACTCATTAATTAATAAAGAATAAACACATAATATTCATATCAAGAGATTAATATTTAGTGACAGAGAAAATAATAATAAAAAAAACTAATCACAGAAAAAAGGAGTCAATTTGAATTACGTAATAAAGAATAGTAGCAAATAAATAGGAACCAATCGAAAAAAAAAAGACAAGAAAAAATAGGGAAAAAAGAGAAACGAAAAAAGCTTAGAAAGCCTTCTTCCAGTTCATACAAGAATCCAAAATATAATGTTGAGAGTGAGAATTGGACCCGCATTGCGGGTGCGGGGATCTGTGTCTTTTGCCAACGGCACCAATCACCAGTTCGTTCAATGGGTGGCAAATTTTATTTACAACGATTTCTTAAACATATACACACACACATATATATATATACACACACGAAGTTTTAACCAAGATCACTGGGTGCCGTGGCACCCCCACATATACATATAGATCCGCCCCTGCCTGGGATACATACAAATCACGCTCGCCTCCTTTCCCAATCGCGCTAGTCTCTCTCCTATTTTTGTGTATATGGTAGCAAAAATACATGTATCTAAGTGTAAGATACATAGAAAGCTCTTATTTAATGATAGGATACGTAATATTTTGAAAGTATATATAATAATATTATATATGGTAATGAAGTATATCTAATTATGTAGTTTTAAATGTAATGTAGGATAAATAGATATGGATGATAGAATAACCTCAATTCTTGTTAATAATAAAAAGTCACAAGAATCAAACTATTAGGTGAATATTGGAGGAGACAATCAAGGGAAAAATATTCAATTCAGGGTGAAAAAAGAGTAAAATGATGGTTCTTAGTCAAGAAAGCATAAATCATTTTTTCAGTCTAAAAAATTTCCTTCCTTTTTTCTCCTAAAGCTCCAATTACTTTGCCACAAGTCCATGATCAAAGTTCCAAGTGTCTCCACACTTCTTTTGAGGGATCATTCTTTAATTATCTTTTCCTAAATACTACCTCCGTCCACTTTTAATTGTGATGATTTCCTTTTTTATAGTGAAACGATAAATACTTTAACTAACATTTTATGATGTACTTTTTCATCATATTAATATGCAAAAACTTGCAATCTATAATGCTTTTCATATAGTTTTTGAATATCTATTTTTTTTGTTAAAAATGTTGAATTAATGTAATCTGATTTCACTTTGAAAATTAGTCAAATTGACTTTAAAAAAACAAAATATTAATTAAAAGTGGATAGGCGGAGTAGTAATAGTAATTGCACATTCGGACACTAGTCAAATCTATGTTCCTTTTTACTTGTCACAATTTACTTTTTGAAAGTCAAACAATAAGAACTTTGACTAATATTTTAAGATGCATTTTTTATTAAATTGATATGAGAAATGTTGCAATTTTATAGTACTTTTCGTATAATTTTTGAATATCTTTTTTTTTTCTTTACAAAAAATCGAATTAATGTAATCTAATTTAACTTTAAAAGTGAGACATTAATTCTCGAAAAACGCAACATGACAACTAACAAGAAAATGTGGTATAAACTTTATTGCTTGAGAGAAGCGTTTATTGTATTAGTATGTATGTGTATAAATTGTATTTAGACACGAGAGTAAACAACAAATAAGGAAAGAATCAACTAATAAAGTTTTATGATCTTCTCCTAATCACAATAAAAACTAAATTACTAATGAGATATTAAGATATCGAATAAAGATATATTATATCACTAATAAGAGGGAGTAAATGATGATATGTGCAATATGTCATACAGAGTCAGCATCAAATCTTAGCTTTATCAATATATAAACACCATCAACCCCTTACACTTTCATCATCAATCAAAAAAGATTATCAATTATGGCTTCTTCAAACTGTATTATGGTTACATTAATCATAATCTTATTGTGGAGTTCTTCTTCTGTTCTTTCTGATACAATCCCTGAAAAGTTCTACCAATGTATTTGCAAGAATTCTGATTTCTCTGACTCTTTTTCCACAGCTTTCTTTACCCCAAATGATGCTTCTTTTAACACAATTTTGAATTCAACAGCTCAAAATCTCAGGTGTTTGATGTCATCAGTGCCTAAACCTGAGCTGATTTTCACTCCATTGACAGAACCCCATGTGCAAGCATCTGTAATTTGTGCGAAACAACTCAATCTTCAACTCAGAGTTAGGAGTGGAGGTCATGACTATGAGGGGATTTCGTACATTTCTGAAATGGGGTCTCCTTTTGTCATCGTCGATCTCTTGAAGCTTCGAGGGATCGAGGTGAACATAGAGGAGAATTCAGCTTGGGCTCAAGCTGGTGCTACTGTTGGTGAAGTTTATTATAGGATTTCAGAGAAAAGCAAAACTCTTGGATTCCCTGCTGGACTCTGTACTAGTTTGGGAATTGGTGGTCATATTACTGGTGGTGCTTATGGTTCCATGATGAGGAAATTTGGGCTTGGAGTTGACAATGTGATCGATGCTCGTATAGTCAATGCAAATGGAACCATACTCGATAGACAATCGATGGGGGAAGACTTGTTTTGGGCTATTCGCGGAGGTGGAGGAGCTAGTTTTGGGATCATACTTTCTTGGAAAATGAAATTAGTCACTGTTCCATCGACTGTCACTGTTTTCACTGTCCCGAAAAAACTGGAAGACGGAGCAACAAAGATTTTATACAAGTGGCAGCAAGTTGCTGACAAAATCGACGATGGTCTGTTCATGAGAGTAGTCATAAATGTTGTAGATAAAAAAGATGTAAAAGGGGAAAGAACTGTTCAAACAGCTTATAACTCATTGTTTCTTGGAAAAGCTGAAACACTTTTACGAATAATGAATGAGTCTTTCCCTGAATTGGGATTGACACAAAAAGATGTTACAGAAATGAGTTGGATAGAGTCAATTTTATACATTGCAGGGTACGCGAACAACACGCCACCAGAAGTACTCCTCCAGGGGAAATCACTATTCAAGAATTACTTCAAAGCTAAATCAGACTTCATAAAAGAGCCAATACCAGAAACAGGACTCGAAGGCCTATGGAAAAGGCTATTAGAAGAGGACTCACCATTGATGATATGGAATCCATACGGAGGAATGATGGCGAATATATCAGAATCAGACACTCCATTCCCACACAGAAAAGGGGTAATTTTCAAGATTCAGTATTTAACTCTCTGGAATCAACCTGATGAAGAATTAGCCACGAGGCACGTTGATTGGATCAGGAAACTCTATAATTACATGACTTCTTATGCATCTATGTACCCAAGAGAAGCCTATGTGAATTACAGAGATCTTGATTTAGGAATGAACAAGAATGTGAATCGTAATTCGAGCTTTGCACAAGCTAGTGTGTGGGGGAACAAGTATTTCAAGAACAATTTTAACAGGCTGGTGCAAATAAAAACTATAGTGGATCCAGAAAATTTCTTCAAACATGAACAAAGCATCCCAGTAAAGGGATGATGTTCTTCTAAGTTTATATTTGGCTAGTAGTAATAATATCTTTTACTTAAATGCTGTTTAATGTGGTATAATGTATGGTTTAATCATGATCATATAATATAAGTAATTTCACTTGTGTAATATTTGCTTATTAAGACTTCAAAGTAACAATTTTGATATGAATATAGGAACTTCAAGTCATTAGGACAGATTCTGATAGTGTTGTTTGGTACATGATATAAGGTGGGATATTCCAGACTTGATCATGTGATATCTAACTTTATTCCGTCTAACTTGAGATTATTTTATTGCACTAATATAATAAATTAGTCTAAAGATTATAATCCCAAGATAATTTACTCCGTGTATCAAAAGAACGGAAAATTATTCATACAAGTTCTTCTAGATATAGATTATTATACATAAAGTATAGGTTATTAAGTGGTGAATCATAATCACAATTAATGTAAGAGGATTTAGAACAATGGGCCTTGACTAAATAGTAAGTGACAGTTTTTGATTGACTTTTGATGACCAATGTACCTAAAATTCATATTAAGTCAATTAAACATGCACAAATGTCTCTTGTACAAAGAATTTTGTAATTGACTTGCAAATTCTTATCCCATGTGCCTAAGAGCCAATATCTACCTAACTTTGTGCAGAACCTGTCGACGCAAATTGGTGTACGTGTCAAAAGTTATATATTGTTGGTGCTTAGTAACGGATGCAGCACCTCCAAGTATTTTCAACGCACAACATATAGTTAGAATTTCAATAAATAATATATATGAACTTATAATTTTAAAGTAAATTTGATATTAAGAACTTTAGCTTAAAGTCGAAGTGTTCGAGTTTAAATTCTAGATATGCCTTTGCCAATATTATTCAAGTTATTTAACAAGTGAATTGCATATTCCCATTCCAAGATAGAAATCAATAGCTATGGGGCAAGGTGGAAGTTGTATACAACTAAAATTATCCACTTTCAAGATAGAAATCAATAGCTAGGGGGCAAGGTGGAAGATGGAAGATGTATACAACTAAAATATCCACTCAATATATATAGATTTCAATAGCTAGTGGCAAGGTGAAAGTTGTATACAACTAAAATATTCACTTTCAAGATATAGGTTTCACCGGCATGGAGCAAGAATGGAAGATGTATTTGCGTATGTATTGGTTTCATAAGCAAAAATGAACTTTACGATGAAACAAATATAAGTTGAGGTCAAGTTGAAGGACACATTTATATATTATGATAATAGATCCTATGTGTAATCTAGAAAATAGATTCATAAAGATAATGACTTGTAAATGATTACACATTAAACTATATACTGACAGTGTGAGCAATTTTTTATGTTGTTAATATATATTCTAAAAAAATTTCAACTACAAGCTAAGTGACAATCAGCATTCGGCAAAGTGATATTTTTTTTAAAAGTATTGTAGCACATTCCCAATGTTGCATTCTCCACCTAGAAATTTCCAAATCAGTTGAAGTTCATAAAAAATTAAAATTAAAACCGATTGAATTACAAGAAGACAAACTACAAGTCCTCAACTACTTCTAGATAACTTCTCATTGTTCTTAACGTTGTGTCCTGCATTGAAAATTAACTGAGTATTGTTAAATGATTTAACTTGTACTATACACTTAAAACGTAAAGAAATTCAAAACTATAAGCATTAGCGTACACTCTACCCTCCTCCTCAGACCAGACTGTAGGGGACTAAACTAGGTATGTTATTGTAGCCCTCAAAATATTACTCTCTTCCAACAAAATTGCTTGTTCATATATGTTAGATGTTTGAATTATTCCAATTTAGAGTACCAAAAAAAGTTCATTATATACCTAAATTGCTCTTTCAATTCTTTGATGATATCAAAACATGGTTTATTCTATAGTACTACTAGTTTTCTTTCTTCTTACAATTACACCAATTAGCTATGAAAATCTTCAAGATTTTGCTACATGCATGTCTTTTCACACTACTTCAATCTCTTCAAGTGTTGTTCATTCCCAACAATCATCTTCATATACATATCTTCTACAAGAATCTCAACAAAATCCAAGATGGTTAAATTCAACATCACTACTTAAGCCATCATTCATAGTGACACCAAAGACACAAAAAGAGATCCAAGGGGTAATTCTTTGTGCCAAGAAACATGGTTTACAAGTTAGAGTGATGAGTGGAGGTCATGATTATGAAGGACTATCTTTTCTTTGCAAAAACCCTTTCATAATCCTTGATTTAGTCGATTATCGATCGATTAACATTGACATAGAAAATGAAACTGCTTGGATTCAAAGTGGTGCAACTATTGGTGAAGTTTACTATAACATAGCCAAGAAAAGTAACATTCTTGGATTTCCAGCTGGCTTATGTCCAAGTGTTGGTGTTGGTGGACACTTTAGTGGAGGTGGCATTGGCACCATGATGAGAAAATATGGCCTGGCTGCTGATAATATCATTGATGCTAGTTTTGTTGATGCAAATGGTAGAATTCTAAACAGAAAAACAATGGGAGAAGATGTATTTTGGGCAATTAGAGGAGGTGGAGGATCTAGTTTTGGAGTAATATCAGCCTGGAATAATTGGCAATACATAGCTAGTAAACTACCCGAGGGTCTCTTCATTCGAGTACTCATTCAACAAATCGATGGAGTTGATAGCCAGGGGAATGTGAAGCAAGCTGAAGTCTTGTTCAATTCACTCTTCTTAGGACTTAAAACTGACCTGATTTCTGTTATGAACACGAATTTCCCTGAATTAGCCTTGAAGATGGAAGATTGCACGGAGATGAGCTGGATTAAATCCGTCCTCTACTTAACCGGTTACCAAAAAGGCGAACCACTAGAAGTCCTGTTGGATAGAAAAACACAATATAAAAGCAACTTCAAGGCAAAATCAGATTTCGTCGTTGAGCCAATGCCTGAAAGTGTTTTCCAGGGGATTTCAGAGAGGTTTTTGCACCAAAAACTAGTTTTCATGATAATGGATCCATTAGGAGGTAAAATGGATGAAATTGACGAATATGAAATACCGTTTCCTCATAGAAAAGGGAACATTTACAACATACAATACATAGTGAAATGGGATTCAAATGAGGGATCTAAAGAACATTTGTATTGGATCCAAAATCTTTACAAGTACATGGAGGCATATGTGTCGAATTCACCAAGAGCGGCTTATATCAGCTATAGAGATCTTGATTTGGGAATCAATCAACAAGGTAATTACTCAAGTTATCGACAAGCTATCATGACTTGGGGTAGCAAGTATTTTAAAGGTAACTTTCAAAGATTGGCAAAAGCAAAACATCAAATTGATCCAAACAACTTTTTCACAAATGAACAAAGTATTCCTCCTCTTTGTTGTTAGTAACAAAATATATGACTTCACAACTTTCATTATAATAGTTGGCATCTTATTGTTGTTGATCAGACAAAATAAATCATAAATGTCATTGCAAAAACTACTTTAATTTCAGTTCAACCAGTCATAAATGCAAGTTTATGCAAAAGTAGAAGGTTAGTGAATTTAACACAAATTCATCATACAAGTGAGGGTGCACGTGCTCATTAACTTTGAAAAAAAATTATGTATATATGTGTATATATAGTTTGAGATCTAAGATATATTTCATTAGACATTATAAAAACACTAAAACTAATTTGGTGCGCTAATTTAAACCCTGTGCCCCCTCCTCAGTTTGAGATGATAATTTTTTTTGGTTTTTGTGGATTTGGTAGTTTCGATCTTGTGACCTCATGGTGCAAAGTGAAGTTCAAAACCAGCACTTGACAAAGTAAACTTTATGTACTAAAGTCATTTAATTCAAAATTATACGTTATTACATTAGTTTTCTATTTCTATGTTTTATAAAAATATTACATGAATCAATATGGAATGACATGCTTTAACTAACGTGCATAAACCGTTGGTGATGCACTCATCGTCTTCAAATCCTAGATTCACCTTTGTCCCGTCAACAAGAATGCGGGAACTCGTCCAATTCATGCAAAAAAAATATAAGAAAAATAAATATTAGTATAAGGATGCTTACATTTAGGAACGAAAACAAAAAAATATCCAGAATGAAGGAGTTAAAACACATGAATAAGCAACGAGTTACAAATTATTGGTATTTCCCATATGTTTTCAATTTTTTCTTTTTTCATATTCATATTAGTTGTGTTCACTGTTGAAGGAAATAATACTTTATCCAAGATAATAATATATGCACAAGCGAAAGACCCAATAAAGAATGGTTATATAGAAGAAACTTATTAATGAGTAGCCAGTGAAGAATTCATTTCTGAAGATGAAGCTTTTACACAATAGTTTAACCATGAAAACATAAGGTACAGCATCAAGCATTTGTGCCTGGATCACTGATTCACTCACACCCAGGAAACCATCCTTTATCGTACCAATACAGAAAATTTCTGTGGCATCAAAACGTGTTCCAATAATCTTCAACCTAACTTCACTTTCCTTGTCAGCTTCCAAAATTTCACCTATCGAAATACAACACATTGATACTTCACTGGGAAAAACATGTAAAATATACAGTATGTAATAAGACAGCCCTATTTATAATACTAATTAACAACCAAAAGTAAATTGGGACTAGAACTAACAAATGGGTGGACGTTGACATGACCGATCATCACCGTAGCTTCATAGTTGTGGATGTGGCGGCTGTTGCCAGAGACACCGATCATGTCAAGCCAATTTTTTCAGCAGCTTGTAATGAAAAATGATCGATGAGGATATTATTAAAATTTAAGAGAGAAGATTTAATTTATGCTTCAGCTAAAAAGAGAATACTCATTAATGGCTGGGCTTTGGTCCTTTTTCTTCTTTTATTTTTTTTTAATTAATTAATTGTGAATATTATCATTGAACAAACAAATACACGTAAATTAGCTAGAGAAACAGACCCTCTCCCAATCCAAATTAGAAATAACTTATTACAACTTTCTATTGCCAGTAATCATATTTCCTTAATTATAAAATTGTTAAATCAAATAAAAATATTTATTACTTTCGTCGTTCCCATCTTACTAAAATATTATTACATATTATTTGATCACTTACTAAATTAGGATAAAATTAATTAATGTTTTCCCATTTTACCCCTATAATTAATATGACCTTTGGATGTTTAAACAAATTTTGAAAATCCAATTATTTTTTTTCAAAGGCTAATCAATAAGAACAAGGGACAAAATAGTAAAATTAATTAATCTATTAATGATTTCTTAATTATCGTGTAAAAAAATATTCATCTAATATGAGACAGAGTGAGTACGCTTTTTTTAAGTCTTCATATGTTCAATCCTTTCTTAGTCTCTCTTAGTAATTGGGCCGACTCATCAGACTTTTACTGAAAAAAATGACAATATTTACAATTTACTGGGACAAAAAAGAAGAAAAAAAGACCAAAGCCATACATTAATAACAATCTTGACCTTTCTCTCTTTTTAGACCAATAAATTGAATTTTCTTTCTCTTAAGTTTTAAAGAAACTTCGTTATTTTTATTATAACCTAGAAATTTTGACTTATTATAAAACCCTTTTTCACTTCACTTCGACATGGCTTGCCCAATTGAACATAGAGAAGGTTGGTTGTCTTACATACACACTGGTGGAATTTCATTTTATTCTGCAATGTCATATGCAATTATCATCACACCACTGTCACCTGCATTGGTTGATGGTAGAGTTGTGGGGGATGTAGCCAGTGGTGTTGCGACAGTTGTAGATGGCGTCGATCATGTTGAAGTGAAGTAAAATGAAAAAGAATTTTATGATACTCAAATAAAAACATTAGGGTTTTTGAGTTCTTCATATGTTCAATCCTTTCTTTAATCTCCTTTTGTATATGTATACTTGCATCTTTCTTGTCTACATTTTTCGCTTGAAATTATTTTCAGTAGTTTGCTCTATGTGTGTATATATCATGGTACTCCAAATAGCAATTGTAAATTCTTTCTTTACATGCTTCAAGTGCCTTTCATTGAAAACGACGGAACCCCTCGTCGTTTTCATTACAACCTGAAAATTTTTAGTATCATAAAATCTATTTTTTAAACTCTTACTTCGACATGATTGATGCCTTCAGCAATCGTCACCGTACCACTGGCTACAATCTCCGTAGCTCCATAGTAGTGGAGGTTGTAGTCGGTAGTGTGGCGACCGCTGCTAAAGACATCAGCCATATCGAATTGAAGTCAATTTTTTTACGATAAGCCAAAATTTCCAGGTTGTAATGAAAAATGACGAGGATATTGTTAAAATTTAAAAGAGATAATTCAATTTATTGGGCTAAAAAGAGAATAGTCAAAATTGTCATTAATGTGTGGCCTTTGGTCCTTTTTCTTCTTTTATTTTTTTAATTAATTGTGAATATTATCATTGAACAAACAAATACACGCACATTAGAGAAATAAATCGCCATCCAAAAAGAGAGCCCAATCCAAAAGGCCTCCAAAATAGAAATAACTTTTTACAGTTTTCTATTGCCAGTAATCCTATTTAATTATAAAATTGTTGAATCAAATAAAGATATTTATTACTCCCTCTGTTCCATATTAGATGGACATCTTACTAAAATTATTTTTGTCATATTACTTGATCACTTATTAAATTAGGCTAAAAATTAATTAATATTTTTTTCGTTTTACCCCTACAATTAATATGACCTTTGGATGTTTAAACAAATTTTGAAGATCCAAAATTTCTTTTTTTCAAAGGCCAATTAATATGATCAAGAGACAAAATAGTAAAATTATTCAATCTATTAATGATTTCTTAATCACTATGTATAAAAAAAAATGTTCATCTAATATGAAACGGAGGAAATAACATTTTTGGCTTAAATTCGTTTTTAATTGTTTGCTCTCTATTAGGTACTTCAAATAGCAACTTCAAACTCTCTTTACTGGGAAAAAAAGAAGAAAAAATACCAAAGTCATACATTAATAACAATTTTGACCATTCTCCCATTTTAGACCTATTATAAATTGAATTTTCTCTTTTTAAGTTTTAATGAAACCTCGTTATTTTCATGAAGATTAGTCGATCTTCGTTGGATAACTAGAGTTTTGAAATAAAAATCAGTGAGGGTTTCTTTAAAACATAAGAGAGAAGATTTAATTTATACGATTTAAAAGAGATAATTGTCAAAATGATTATTAATGTATGAGCTTCGGACTTTTATCTTCTTTTTATTTGTAATAAATTAAGAATATTATCATTGAACAAACAAATACAATACACTTAGTGTGATACTACTTTTCAGAAAGGAAACCAAATCCCAAAGACCTCCAAAATAGAAAGAATTTATTACAACTTTCAATTGCCAGTAATCCTATTTAATTATAAAATTGTTGAATCAAATAAAAACATTTATTAGCTTTTTTGAGCTCTTCATGTAAGTTCAATCCTTTCTTTAATCTCCTTTTGTATTTGTATACTTGCACCTGTCTTGTCTACATTTTTGGCTTGAAATTATTTTAAGTTGTTTGCTTTTTATTTGTATAAATCATGGTACTCCAAATAGCAATTATAAAATTCTTTCTTTACTTGCTTCAAGAGCCTTTCCAATGAAAAGATTGATTCACCAAAGGAAAATGATATAGATTAATAGTGAAAAGAAATAAAGAAGGGAGATGGGGTTACCTTTTCAAACTGAAAGAGACATGGAGGATGTTTTTGAGGCCATCAGTACTAAAAATCTCATGGACAAAGCTTGAATCCGATGATTTTTATGAGCTTTTCCTTTTTTATTCGAAGCTACAGTAAAAGACCTTTTGTCGCTCTATTGAAACCACGTTGATAACCATTTCATCCATCGGAGCTAATCTTTGTAAAAGAGAAAAAAGAGGTCAGAAGAAATAAGGAAAATGGTAAAAGTGTAAAAGTGCAAAAAATAGTGGAGGTCGACCTATGCGATCTGAGAAAGATGAATGACGGTATAAAGATGAGGAAGATGTTGATGATCCATAGCATAAAAAAGGAGGAAGGTGGAGTTGGTAACAACACCCAACGACGGCATTGGAGAGAAAAAAAAGGGAGCTCAATTTGAAAACCCTAGCTGCTAGGATATGACCTTTTGCTGATCTATCAAAACCAAGTTAGTAACCATTTCATCCACTGGAGCAAATATCGGCAAAAGAGGAAAAAGAGGTCAGAAGAAATAACGAAAAGGGGGAAAGTGCAAAAGATAGTAGAGGTTCACCTCTGCGAGCTGAGCAAGATGAATTGTGGTATAAAGAGGAGGAAGATGTTGACGATTCATCGCATAAGAAGGAGGAAGCTGGAGTTAGTGAAATTACCCAGCGGCGACATTTGAGAGGAAAAAAGAGAGCTCAATTTGAAACACCTAGCTGCTAAGGTGATATTTAAGAAGGGATGGTCGGTTCAATTTTT